CTCGATTAATGCAATCGACCGGACCTGGACGAATAAGGGGGACGAAACCGCTGATCACCCTGTGTTGGTGGAGGGTAAAGTCAACGGAGTATTACTGAAGATTTTCGTTGATGGAGGCGCGTGTCACAGTCTCATACAACTGGACAGGGCTAAGAAATTGGGTATCCCCTTATTCAAGTGTCTACTTGAAATCGACGCCCGACTAGTGGACGGAACGCTGTTGGCAATACGGGAACGAGTGGAGAACATCGGTTTTACTTGTGGGGAGCATGTAAATTTTTGAATGGGACTACTGGCGACTCCTCTCGACGGGTGCGACGTGCTGCTGGGAAGCGATTGGTTGCGACGGTACAACCCCAAGATTGACTAGACGATGGGTGGCTGCAGCATAAAGCTCGAGGGGATTTCCCGCGAGCTAACCAAGTGGACAGGGCCTCGCAGGCAAAGCACTCAAGTCCACGTGATCAATTTCAAACGCGCGATGAAAGCTGGAGCTGCAGCGTACGCCGTTGATCTTCACGAGGTGACATCGACGGTCGAGACCGAAGACATCGAGAAGCTGTGCAAGGCCGTCCCTCCGGACTTATCGGAATTGATTCTGAAATACCCAGAGATTTTCCCGAACGACCTGCCAGCTGGAATCCTGCCGAGCCGACCTGAGGTCCATCGCATCGAGCTGGAACCAGGCGCCCAATCGACAGTACAGCGATAATTTCGGCTCAGCCAACCGGAACTGGAAGAATTAAAGCAGCAGCTGGATTACCTTCAGATGAAGGGATTTATCTGGCCCAGCACGTCACCATGCGCCACCCCGATACTGTTCACGCCAAAGAAGGATGGAGGATTCAGAATGTGTATCGACTACCGCGCGCTCAACCGGATCACCATCAAGTCGCGTTACCCGATCCCGCGAGCCGATGAACTTCTCGACCAACTCCGCAGCGCCAAGTTCCTTTCGAAATTCGACTTGCGAAGAGGTTACAATCAGATTCGCGTCGCCCCCGAGGATTGTCACAAGACGACATTTCGAACCCGCTACGGCAGCTACGAGTACCTGGTGATGCGTTTTGGCCTCATGAACGCGCCCTCGACCTTCCAGATGACCATGAACGGAATTTTCAGGGAACTCTTGGACAAATGCGTCATCATCTACCTCGACGATATACTAATCTACAGCCGCAACAAGGAGCAGCACTTACTGGATCTTGATGCAGTCTTCACGCTGCTGCACAAGAATCGCCTCATCACCAAAAGGCCTAAGTGCGACTTTCTTAAGCAGGAGTTTGAGTTTCTGGGCTACATCATCTCTATTGAAGGGGTGAAAATCAACCCCAAAAATATCAAGACCATACAGGAGTGGAAGCCGCCAAGCAACATCAAGGAGCTGCAGAGTTTTTTTGGTTTCGTCAACTACGTTCGCCGGTTTATCCCGAATATGGCTGGGTTATCTGCCCCGCTAATTGACCGCCTCAAGGATCACGATTGTTTTTGGTGGGGAGGGAAGCAGCAAGCTGCATTTGACCAACTGAAGATCGCCCTCACGTCGCCGCCCATCCTTCGCATCTTCGATCCGGACCGTCCATACGAAATCATCACCGACGCCGGCGACATCGCCATCGGTGTAGTTCTTCTGTAGGATTTCTGCGACGGATTACAGCCAGTCACCTACGAATCACTGAAGCTGTAGGGAGTGGAGAAAATTTATACAGTACACGAAAAGGAAATGTTGGCGATCGTCCACGCGTTCAAGACCTGGCGGTGCTACCTGACAGGTGCTGACGTCACTGCGCGGACCGACCACAAATCCCTCCATTACCTTCGCTCCCAACCAAACCTCAACCCGTGACAGATCCGATGGCTCGATTTCCTCGAGTCAAACTTCCACTACACCATCACCTACAAATGGGGGCGCCAACAACATTGCTGATGCCCTGACCCGACCCACTGCCCACACAGCTGCCATACTAGTCACCCAGACATGCCCACCCCTTACCGGACTATTTACCCACGGCTACAAAATCGACCCCTTCTCCCGCTCCGCTATTCATCAACAGCATACCACAGCTACCGGACACAATTTTAATAAGCGCGACACATCCTGCATCTGGGTTCCCGTCTACGATTTACTTCGTATCCTCCTAATACAGGAGTCTCACGACAACCCTACCTCCGGGCATTTTGGAGTCGAGAAAACCATGAAGACGTTGCAGCGTAATTATTACTGGCCGAACATGGTCGGCGACGTGCGCAAGTACGTGTCCTCCTGCACCGCCTGCCTTATCATGAAATCATCCCATCAGCGAGCAGCCGGACTCCTACAGCCGTTGGATCCGCCCGAGAGACCCTGAGAGCACGTCACGATGGACTACGTGACAGGACTGCCGGCCGGTCCCAACGGAAACGACGCCATCCTCGTGGTCGTCGACCGACTCATGAAAATGGCACACTTCATCGCCTGCCAACAGAAAATTACAGCTGAGCAAACTGCCCAACTGTTCATCGGCAACATCATCAGACTACACAGACTGCCCACCGCCATTATTTCAGACCGAGACCCGAAATTCACATCGAATTTCTGGCGCCACCTATGTGACCAATTCGGCACAAAACCACAGTTTTCCTCCGCCTACCACCCACAGACTGACGGGCAGGCTGAACGAGTCAGCCAAACTATGGAGCAACTCGTTTGGACTACCTGCACTGGCCTAAAGACATTGGAGAAATCCCTTCCGCTGCTGGAGTTCGCGTATAATAACGCGCCTTCCGCCACAACCCATCAGTTCCCATTCTTCCTCAAATACGGACAGGACCCTGTGGTACCCTCTACACCCAATATCGAGACACCCGTACCCCGGTCCCATTGATTTGCCGAAGACATCCTCGCAACCCGAGAAAAAGCAGCCGAGGCAATCCGGAAAGCCAACCTGGTTGCAAGCCGACAAGCCGATCGTCATCGACGTGACGCCACTTACAAAGGGGGATATCTTGTACTACTCGACACTCGCAATCTGCGTCTGCCGATACCGAGCAAACTCCGAACCCGATTCTGTGGTCCTTTTCAAGTGACCAGTATGGTGATACCTGTCACCGCTCACCTCCGACTCCCGACGGATTGGCGTCACGGGTGGCTTTCCACGTCAGCCTACTACGACCCTACGTTCCCAGTTCGTCGGATTTGGCACGTCAACGTATCGTACCGCAGGTGACGCCTCTGCAGGAACCGACAACCGAGCCCTTGAAGATTCTCGGTCATCGCGTCACCACGCAGCAGAACCGACGCATGGTGGATTTTCTAGTCCGCTGGCGCGTTCAGACGTTCGAGGATAACAGCAAGGTGCCCCTCGCTGATTTAGAATCACACCCGATTCTAGCAGCGTATTATCGGCGTATTATCAGCGTCAGAATGTTTCCGATGCTCGCGGCCTCGTCTAGGAGGGGGGGGGGGGGGGGGGGGGGGGGGGGAGGGGAGGGGGGGAGGGAGGGGTGGGCATTGTAAGGAATTTCCATTCCTTACTGCGTTGTACGCTAGCGCGTACACCCAATGTAACGTCTGCGGGCGGAAAAACACCCTAGAGAGTGTAAATGCATTCCGCTGCGTCTCTGGGTAACCTCGTTTTGACCCAGTGGGTAGCGAGACGTTATACTGGTACTAGAGCCTAGGGTTCGAATCCCAGCTTGGACACATTTTCCGCGCACGGCTGAGGTCGTGGTGAGAACTCGAATGTGTGAAAATACAGCTGCGGTTGTATCCAGTCGCGAACCCAGCGAACGATCCTGGTAACTGGTGTCCATCACCAGCGAAGTCGCTGACTTGGACCACCAGTGAAACTCAAGGTCCTTGCGGGGGCCGACTCCCTGAGCCAACGAGGACGTTGGCGCCAGGGGGGGACGAGTGTAACCTCTGCGGACGGAAAAACACCCTAGAGATTGTAAATGCATTCCGCTGCGCCTCTGGGTAACCTCGTTTTGACCCACTGGGTAGCGATGCGTTATACCCGAACTCCTCGACTCATCACGTTCGTCGGCCCAACCCTTTCCCGAGTCGCGTCCGGCACTGTCGTCACATTGCCGAACCTACCCATGTTCCGAGGTTATCGCCCTAGCACGCCAACCCCTATATAACCTCGTGCCTTCATTGCAATAGCGACGTTGTATTCTCATGTTACAGTTCATTGACACTTCCTATATCATAACAACGGACGTTCCCATAACAGATCCCATATCACCTCACACAACTGACCTAACGGCCAAGCTTGCCTGCGAAATTCTCCCCGTTTCCTGAAGTCGTCCGAGTTGCTCCCTTCACACGGCGACGAATTGCTGCCAGCGGGTAGCAGAATGGATGGTGGACTGTTCAGTCAATGGTCCATCGCCATTCGGTTACACATTGGTGCCCTTGCACACCCCAGCCCTAGGTGTTGAAGCTGAACGACTCAGTTCAAGTTGCTGCCCTTGACTGCCGACGTGTACTTGTTGACGGGCATCATTCCCGACTTAGAGTATTTTCCAACGATAGTTCGTCTCGTTCGTTGGTTTCGGTGAGGTGCGCCCACCGAAATGAACAAGTTTGGAGCCATTCATCTCGGTGTGTTGCAATTTCGCGAACACCCACTTCGCCGCCCAGACGACTCGCAAACCACCCTTCGCCAAAAACGCAACCAATCAGCCGAGATCCGCTGGGTGACGCTTGCGAGCTCTGTTTCCGCCGTCCGTTTTAGTCGTTTCCGACGTTCTGACTAGGTTTGTTCTGATCTGACGGTCCATTTCGTCGTTGAGCCTGGTAAAGTATTTCGTTCGTCAACATTCGTGTTCGTTTTCGCCAGCTACGGTCGTACGCGATGAACGAGAAGCCCACTGAGGCCAACTTTGTTGACCAACACCCCACCGAAACCAACGACCGAGACCAGCTATCGTTGGAAAACGCTCTTACACATCATGGCATGGCACCACTGCTGGAATACAAAATTTCCTTCACCAGTGCACAACTTGCTACGGATGGCAGAATCCGCGGAGAGCCGCGGCGGAGCGGATGGGGGAGAACCGCCGCCAGACGTGCGCTTCTCCTCTTGATCTCGGACTCCGAAAGCTCCGAATAATTCGGGCTGGATTTCCGGCTGGAGCATGCCATGATAAGTGCTAGGCCAAAGCCAGGCCAAAGCCAGGCCACATGATTCCTATCTCTGTCCGAGTTACCTGTCCGCCACTGCCTTCACTCTTTGAAGAGTTTAGGGTTTCGGGTTGGTTCACACCGACGCACGCACAGCATAGTAATCGGCCATCCGCAAGCTTCGACGATGGGCCGCAGATCTGCTTGCTTTTCCACCATCCTCGCCCTCGCCCTTATCTTTTGTGGGTCCGCCCGCGTCTCACCCCATTGGCGCGCCTCACTCCTTCACGCACACGGGCCAGCGGCACCCCATTCACGCGGCGCATCATGCCTTGCTCCTTCACTCATTTTCTATGCCTTGCTACTCACCTTCACCCATTTTCTATCCTGCCTTGCTACAAAGGCTTGGTTTCGCCTCCCTGATCCCCCTGCCCTACTCCTCCTCCTCCCCCCTCATCTGCCCGTTGCTATCAGGCGAGACGGCGCTGGCATTGGCATTGCGAGGCCCGCAAGTTTTGACCCTGAGTCCTGGTAACAGTGCGAGCTCACCCTGCGGCAGCTGCCCCTCGGGAGCCACCTGCAGACTCACACCTGCTCACAACGACGTTTCTCTCACTGTGCCTTACTGCGCATGCCCTAACGGCTATGGGATGACTCCCGACGCCTGTGTCAAGGGTAAGAGCCAATGAGCTGCATTTTTGAGGTCTGGTTTCTATGCCTCAAGAGTCAATGCATGCCCTGGTCTCTGAGTCTTGGGACTTCCTTTCGACCCCCACAGTCCCCTCCGTATCCCCACTCCCCCCCCACTCTCCCCCTCCTTCCTCACCCCTTCTGCTCCTCGCTGTCTGCCCTGCCCATTTTCAGGTGCACATTCCACAGTGTCGGGCGACAGCATCACGCTCAGCAGAAAGGCGGGTGCTCAAGACCAAGCATCCTTTACCTTCCGCCCGAACATGGACAGCTGCACCCAACTGCCCGAGGCAGTGGCTGGGAGCTTCGACTCGCACGCTGTGGTTTTGAGAATGGGCACTCCGAGCTGTGCAGTCATCACCGTGTATGACGGCGACAACTGCACCGGGGCTCAAACGTGGATAGACTTGCTCCGGTATCCGCCCTTCTTCGCAACAACTTCGTGAGCGACCTTCCAACTGCCTTCCTCTTCCCCCATGCTTTACTGCTTCCCCATGCGCTGCCTCTTCCCCATGCGCTGCCTCTTCCCCATGCGCTGCCTCTTCCCCCATGCTCTGCCTCTTGTCCATGCACTTTATCCCAGGATCAAATGCCTTGGGCATGCCCTCTCGCCTTCCGGCTCCCCCCTTTCTGTATCCTTGTCTATGTTAACAGGCCGCTGGGATTACCTCATACGGCCTGCTCAGTAATGTGCCTCATGTAGCTGCTTCAGCTCTGATTGGCACCTCCATCGGAGCAATCAGACCCACACACCCTGCAGTCGACAAGGATACCGGCTTGTATTGCTTCGTCCCTCCATACAAAAAATAAGGATGGGCCCATTTTCGGGCATTTACAAGCTAATTGGAGAGGAAATTGCGACCCCTATTGTTGTAAACAGGGTTTCATTGAATTGTGATAGACCTACGCAACCAAAGAGAAAAAAATGACCATACGTGATTGGATTGTTGTGGTAAAGAATGTTCATGTACAGCGGTTTGGCGTTGTATGCTACATGGAGTTATTGCGTTTGATTGATATTACGAGCTTTACCAAATGTTAGGTAGGTATGGATAATGACACTGTTTTATCTTGTATCGGATAACCAGCGGAAACTATGCTGTTCGACATTTCTGCTGCCCACACGCCAGCCCCTACCACTACAGATCTACCCGACTTCGGTCTAGGAATCGCCCACCGTCTGCTGCTTTTAGCATTTCCGCAGCATACGAGGTCCGCTGCGCGGTGGTTTACGGGCCACACGTGGCACGAGTAGTAATCGAGCTACGGCGTAACTGTCAACTTATACATATTATCTATGTAGAAGTTATAGGCTAGACTGAGGTATGCTTCTAGTGAGTACAACCAACTAGTATTTGTTCTAGGTTTCCACCTCTAGTAATCATTCGTTTCTACGTTAACATGGTATCACGCTTAGGTTAGGATCCCCCCGCCTACCGCTTCCGCCCGTCGCGCCTCCTAGGCCCCGTCGCGCCCCCTAGGCCCCGTCGCGCCCCCCCTGGGCCCCGTCGCGCTCGTTAGGCCCCGTCGCGCCCCCCCTGGGCCCCGTCGTGCCCGCTGGGCCCCGTCGCGCCTCCTAGGCCCCGTCGCGCTCCCCCTGGGCCCCGTCGCGCCCGCTGGGCCCCGTCGCGACCCCTAGGCCCTAACGCGCCCCCGCTGGGCCCCGTTGCGCCTCCTAGGCCCCGTCGCGCCCCCCATGGGCCCCGTCGAGCCCGCTGAGCCCCGTCGTGCCTCCTAGGCATCGTCGCGCCTCCTAAGCCCCGTCGCGTCCCCCCCCCTCTGGGCCCCGTCGCGCCCGTTCGGCCCCGTCGCGCCCCTCCTAGGCCCTGTCGTGCCCGCTGGGCCCCGTCACGCCTCCTAGGCCCCGTCGCGCCCCCTCTGGGCACCGTCGCGCCCGCTGGGCCCTGTCGCGCCTCCTAGGCCCCGTCGCACCCGCTGGGCCCCTTCGCGCTTCCTAGGCCCCGTCGCGCCTGCTAGGCCCCGTCGCGGCCCCCCTGGGCCCCGTCGTGCCCGCTGGTCCCCGTCGCGCCTCCTCGGCCCCGTCGCGCCCCCCCTGGGCCCCGTCGTGCCCGCTGGGCCCCGTCGCGCCCCTTAGGCCTCGTCGCGCCCGCTGGCCCCTGTCGCGCCTGCTGTTAGCGCTCGCCTGCCTGGCCTCCTAGTGCCGCTCGGCCTCCTCCTAGTGCCGCCTGGCCCCTTCCTAGCGCCGCCCGGCCTCTCCTCAGCGCTGCCCGGCCCCTCCTCGTGCCCGACCGGCCCCAGCAGCACCAGCCTGGCCCCTCCCAGCACCAGCCCGGCCCCAGAGCACCTGCCCGCCTCCCCTGCTCGGCCTGCCGTGTCCTCTCGGGCCCTGTGTCTTCTGCTCGCCTGCGCTGGGACGCCTAGCTGCTGCCCTACTGGAGAGTGCTGCCGCCGTGTCCCCGCGCCGCTGTGCTCCTGTGCCGCTGAGGAGCTGTGCTGCTGTGCCGCTGTGTCGCTGAGGAGCTGTGCCGCTGACCCTGCACGATGGCTGACTTTGTGCTCCGCCTGGACGCTGAGGGCCACGCGGTTGACTTCGCCGCCTGGCTCTCCGATCTCCGCCGCCAGCTTACAGGTCAGCGCCAGGATGGCCACTCTCTGGTTGTCCATGCTGATGGCTTGCTCCCCCGTCCCCCTGCACCTACTCCCCTCCCTGCTGACCCCTCCTCTGATGACCGTGAGGCTTTCTCTACTGCTGCGCTGGCCTGTGCGGTCTGGGACTCACGCGATGCAGTAGCTCAGGTTGCTATTAGTCACGCCCTCCCTGTGTCTGAGCGCTCGCGTTTTGCTACTGTTGAAACGGCCAAAGCTTATTTAGACGCCGTTATTGCTCGCTATTCCACCCCTGCCTCCGCTTCTGCTGGCCGCTTGCTCTTTCCGATGCTTTTCCCAGACCTGGCTGCCTTCCCTACTGTCGCAGACTTTGCCACTCATTTGCGTGCCCTAGAGACTCGCTATCGCACTGCCAGCACTGCTGCCCAGCTCACTGCGCTCCCCCCTCCTTTCTGCATGACGCTCTATTTTATCGCTATGCGCCTGCCAGACCGCCTCGCTAGTGCTCGCGACCACTTTCTTAGCCAGCACCCGGGTGACCTCACCCTGATCGCCTTTGTCGACACCCTCACTGAGATCGAGACTCGCCAGCGCACTATCGCTCAGTCGAGCGGTGCGCCGGCAGTCTCTATCTTTCACGGCTGTGCCCCATCCCAGTGCACGTTCACTGACGTTTCGGCTGCGGTCGCCACGGCGACCCCTCTTACCGAGACGGCTGCTGCTGTCCACCCGCAGCAGCGCTCGCGTCGCGGTGGCCGTGGCCGCCAGGGAGGTAGGGGTGGTGACGCAGGTGGTAGTGGTCGTGGTGGTGGTGACGGTAGTCCGCCTGAGGGGACTACCACCGGTGGGCAGGAGCAGCAGCCCCAGCAGCAGCAGGACCAGCCCCAGCCGCAGCCGCCGTCCCAGCAGCACCCGCCGCAGCCGTGGGCTCGTCTCCCGCCTGGTTGGCCCGGCACCTCCGGAGGCGGTGGCCGTGGTGGCGGCCCGCGCAGCTTGGCGTCTACCAGCGGCTCCAGTGCTGTGACCTGCCAGTACCAGCTTCAGACCGGGCCTCTCCGCGGCACTCTGTGCCGCCGCCCGCACCCGACCGCCCGCTGTTTCCGCCGCCTCGACGATCTTTTTCGTCGTCGCTTTGGCCCGGCCCCGGACCTCCCTGACTGGCACAGCCTACTCCGCCAGGGCGTGCCGATCTTTGAGTTAGACATGGATCAGATAGGTGCTGCTTTGCATGCTTTGTATGCTGACGCTTCTAGTGTTGCTGGATCTTACTACCCTGTGTACTCTAGTTTAGGTGTTTCACCCTTGTGTAGCTTAGCTTCCCCTGCTGCGACAGGCGTAGGACTGCCTAGGTTGCCTAGTCTAGTCGCTGCACCGGCTCCGTCCCCGGCCTCCGCCACTGCGTCGCTGTCCTTCACTCTCGACTCTGGTGCTTCTGCCTGCTTCTTCCGCGACCGTTCCACGCTCACGCCGCTTGCTGCACCTGCTGTTGTCTCTCTCGCTGACCCCTCTGCGGGTCCGGTCGTCGCGCGCAGTTCTACGTCCCTTCCTTGTCCGGCAGTTCCCTCGGGCTCCCTTACTGGCCTCCACGTTCCCTCGTTCTCCAGGAACCTGGTTGGTGTCGGCTGTCTCCAGGACCTCGGCGTCACCACCACGTTCCCCGGGCACGAGCGGTTCGCTGTCTGTTCTGAGGCTGTCTCAGGTTCCCCCCTTGCGACGTTCCCCCGGGACCCGGTGTCCGGTCTGTTTACCCTACACACCGCTTCCCCCCCGGTTGGTGCGTCCTCCCAGGTCGCTGCAGCTTGCTCGTGTCGGTCCCTCACTCACCCCTCCCTTCTCTGGCACCACCGCTTAGGTCACCCTGCTCTCCCGCGTCTGCGTCACATGTCCCAGCACGGTCTTGTCTTAGGTCTCCCCGCGTCGCTCCCTGCCCTTCCTCCCTCGACTGCGCCACCGTGCACACCTTGCGTCGAGGGTCGGCTCCGCCGTGCTCCTCACTCCTCCTCGCTGCGTCCTGCTACTGCCCCCCTTCAGACCCTGCACTTGGACGTTTGGGGCCCTGCCCCCGTCCCCGGACCGCGCGGTGAGCGCTACTTCCTTGTGCTCGTCGACGACTACACGCGCTACACCACGGTGTTTCCCCTGGAGCGGAAGGCCGACGTGCCCGACGTTCTTCTCCCGTGGGTTGTGGCTGCGCGTCTCCACCGCGGTCTCCCCGTGTTGTGTCTCCACTCCGACCGTGGCGGCGAGTTCGCCTCTGGTCGGCTTGGACAGTTCTGTCGTGCGGAGGGCATCACCCAGTCGTACACGTTGCCGGACTCGCCACAGCAGAATGGGGTTGCTGAGCGCCGCATCGGCTTGGTCATGGAGGTCGCCCGTACCTCCATGATCCATGCCGATGCCCCCCATTTTCTGTGGCCGTTCGCTGTTCGCTACGCGGCTCACCAGCTTAACCTGTGGCCACGCTCCCAGCGGCCGCAGGTTTCGCCGACCCTCCTTTGGACCGGGTCCCCCGGTGACGCGTCTGCGTTCCACGTCTGGGGCTGCCTTGCTCACGTTCGTGCCTCTGGCACGGACAAGCTCACTGCCCGCACTGTCCCCTGTGTCTTCCTCGGTTTCCCCCTGGACTCGTCTGACTGGCTTTTCTACCACCCGCCGTCTCACCGCTTCCTCCACTCTCGTGACGTCACCTTTGACGAGTCCGTCTCCTTCTACCGCCGCTTCCCTCACCGAGGTCTCCCAGTTGCCCCCCCCCTTTTCCTTGCTCCCTCTCCCCCGGTAGCCCCTGCCCCTCTCCCGCCTCGTCCTGCCCCGTCTGGTGTCTCCCACGTCACTCCCCTCCCGTCGGTTGTCCCCGTTGAGGAGTCTGCTGACTCTGGTGGTTCCCCCGGTCCGTCCTTGCAGCGTCCCCCTTCCCCGGTGCCTCCGCCCCCACTGTCGCAGTCGCCGACCCCGCTGCCGCCGCCGTCGCCGTCGCCGCCGCAGCCGTCGCCGCTGTCGTCGCCGCCGCCGCCGCTGTCGCTGCCGCAGCCGTCGCCGCTGTCGCCGCCGCCGCAGCCGTTGCCGCCACTGCCGCCGCTGCTCTCGGCCCCTGGGGGTGCTGGTGTGGAGGAGGGTGTTCGTCCTGCGGCTTCTGGGGGTGCCGCTGGTGTTGGAGGGGGTTCTCGCTCTGGGGGTGTTGGTTCTGGGGGTGCTGCTGTTGAGTGTTCTGCCGACGGTCGTTCTGCCTCTGCTGGTCCGAGAGTTCCGGCCCAGCCGTCGTCGCCGCCGCAGCAGCCGTCGCCGCCGGTTTCCGCTCTCCGCCTGCTCGGCCTTCCCTCCCCGGACCGCGCGCCGGTGTCTCCCCCACCGCCTCCTGACCTTCCTGTCTACGGTCCTGTGTTCCCGCCGCCA